AAAAAAAAATGACAGCATATTATGAATAAAAGAGTCCAAAGCTATTAATCATAGATGGGAAACAGCCTAAAAAGCCTCAAACAGCATCATCATAAAGCTTTGATTTAAGTCTCTTCCTCCATTTCCTCAACTTTTGCATGAAACAAATGACAGTAGAAAAAAGACAGGAAACAGGGAGAGCCTCAATTCAATGGAGGACATAAAAGAGAAAGACAGAAAGCGGGAAAAACATTTGTGTCATGGGTCTCATATATTTTTTAGCAGATAAATACGCAGATTTTGACCAATGTAAGTTTCCCAAGAGTTATGAAATACAAAGAATCTACAGAACTGCTAAGTGAAATTAAGTATGAAGTTGTGACAATGATCAACATGTTCACCATGTAGCCCACAAATTCCTAAATACAGTACAAGCCACTGTAACATTAACATACCATATAACAGATTCAGGTGAAGTATACAGAATGAAAACAATGGTTTGTATCTACCTGCTTGACGCATGTGGCCCATTATGTGTTTCTGCAGAACACTCTTCCATTAACCCTTTTCCTTTCACTCTATCAGTGTAATTTCCCGCAGATGTTGGGCTGACAATGTGAATCTGACTAGGTGGGGGTCTAGAACTCGAGACTACACTAACAATATCATCTTGTCTAGCATCAGCAGAACTCTTCACAGGGCTTTCAGCAGGGCATTTAGCCTTTGCAATATTATGCGGCGAAATAAAACCATTCCGTACCAGCCTTCTTTCCCTTTTCCTAGGTAAGGTAGCAGCTTGCAGTGATTTTGACATGAGTTGTTCTGTATTTTGATTACTGTCACTATGTAAAGGAATACCATTTCCATTATCCACCCCCACCGCAGAACTTCTGTGGAAGCCATGATCAAAATCAGAGTTTATGTTGCCTTGGAGCAAAGTAGCCTTCCTCAGATTTCTACCACCAAGACATAACTTTTTAGAATGTATTTTCTTGCTTGAATTCAGATCATTCAATATCTCCTTATTTTTACCTTTCATTCTGCTATCATCAGCTAATAATTCAGCAATACTTGAAGTATCACCATCAACCTTGGCTCTGTCATTACTTAAAGTAACGAGTTGTTCTGCAAATCGAGGTTGGGACGAAACCTTTACTGACATCATTCTCTTCATCAGACGTGCATTTGATACAGATGGACTATCTTCCAAATTAATAACTGAACAATTATTTTGAGGAATTTCCCCATGAGTACCAACTTCACCTCGTGAACGAGGAAACAATCTTCTATTATTCGCACTATCAATGTTTACCCTCCCATGATCCCTTACTCGATTACGAATTCCTTTATCCAATAAATTAGAAATTCCAGAATTACCAACCACTGATGAACTACATGGTTCCTCCACATTGTTGCTGCCACTAGTAATATTTTGTGTTAACATCCTATCTGGAGTATCAGGAACCATTATCAAATCCATGTCTACCTCCTCCATACTCTGCATCCAAATTCCGATGCCTTTGTAAACAAAAATAAACAGGAATCTTCTTTAAGCATTACCTCATCCAGGCAAAAAAAAAAAACAAATAAATACAACTTCTTAAAAATAAAAAATTTCAGAATCTTTATATAAAAAATTCAAATTATTTGCAATTCCAATATAAAAAGAATCAAAATTTCGATGGGGCAAAGAAACCAAACATAAATAAATCAAAATTGGATTAATTGCATAATCAAGCTGTGAAATTCAACAAATTACAGATCCTTAAAGCAATTAGAAATTCAAGAATATTCAATTTTTAAGCAAAATCAGTAATCAAACATCAAAAGCTAACAAAATTGTGTAAAAAATGTTACA